TTTGCCTGTGTCAAGCTGGCCTTGCTTCTCTGGCAGCCTTCACAGCCACTGACCCACTCTCGGACTTGCTTTCTCATCCCTTCCCACCACCAGCCGGTCTTGAGCAGCTGCGTTGTGCGTTCATGCCCAAAGTGTCCCAGCTTCCTATGTACCTCCTCGATCACCCCTTCCCTCTCCTGCGGCGCAGGCACCACCTTCCACCCATCCACGGACTGCAGCTGCAGCTGTCCTTGGTACCATCGGTTGTGATGCCCTCGTGCCCTCACCCTATCTGTCACCTGCTCGTTCTCCTCTGTCTCCCCTTTAATCCACCGCAGGGCCGTGGGATCCTCCCATATGTCCTGTGGCCCCCTCTTTCCTTGCTTTTCTGCTGCTGCCTCCTCCCCTTGCCTAGCGAGCAGCATCAGCGCGTGCACGGGCTCGGCTGCGGGCGGGTTCCTTGAGAGCCCGTCCACGTGCTGCAATGTCTTTCCTGGTCTGTGGCGTATTTTGAAGTCATATTCCTGCAGGGTCACGGCCCACCGCGCGTTTCTCCCTGTCAGCCCTTGGTGGGTCATCAGCCACTGCAACGGCTGATGATCTGTGATCAATGTGAATTCCCTCCCTTGCAGGTACACTCTGAAGTGCTTCACGGCCCACACAGCAGCCAGCCCTTCCCCATGATAAGAGCTGTACTTGGCCTCTGCTGGGTTACAGCTCCTACTCGCGTAAGCCACCACCCTTTCCTCTCCATCCAGCTCTTGGCACAGGATTGCCCCCATGCCTTGGCTGCTCCAGTCAGTGTATAGGCAGAATGGCTTGTCGGCCTTGGGCAGCTGCAGAATCGTTGCTGTCTGTACCGCCTCCATCAAGTCTCGCAATGCCGCTTCTTGCTCTGTCCCCCACTCCCACCTTTTGTCCTCCCTCAGTAGCCCGTTCAGCGGTGCCGCGCGCTTGCTGAAATTGGGGACAAACCTTCGGTAGTAACTCAGAAAACCGAGCACCGCTCGCAGCCCGCTTCTGTCCTTCGGCTGCTGCAGCCTGTTCAGCACCTCCACCTTTGCCCGCTGAATCCCTATCTGTCCGCCCCTCACCTCATACCCCAGGTACTGCACCGTTGCTTCCCCCCACCTGCACTTCTTTGGGTGACAGGTCAGCCCTGCCGCCGCCAACGCCTTCAGCGTCCGCTCCACGTCTCGCACATGCTCCTCCTCACTCCTGCTGAATATCACTACGTCATCTATGTAACATGCTGCACACTCCAGCCCCCGCAACACGCTGTCCATTACTCTCTGAAAGATGGCCGACGCGTTCCTCAGCCCGAATGGCATAAACAGCCATTCGTACAGCCCGTCTGCTCCATGGAATGCCGTTTTCCGCACGTCCTCCTTTCTGATCTTGATCTGGTTGAAGCCCTGTCTCAAATCTAGCGTGCTGAAGATCTCCCCTGCCCCCAGTCGGTCAAAAATATCCTCCGCTGTCGGCATTGGGTACCTATCGGGCACTGTCACTTTGTTCAGTGCTCGGTAGTCCCCACACATCCGTCGACTCAGCACCTCCCCCAGCAGGTCCTTTCGTGCAGCTACCACTGTCGGCGTCGCGTACTCTGATTCTGATCTCTGTATCAACCCTGCTTCTAGCAACTCTTTGCATTTTTCCTTGCAGATGTCTTCATCCCCGGGTGTCATTCTCCGCTTCCTTTGAAACACTGGCTCCTCCGTGACCAGCTTCAGCTCCATCTCCCTCACTGTGCATTTTCCCAGCTCCTGTAGGTTGAATGCAAAGGCATGCCTGTACCTGGCCAGCACCTCCTGCATTGCCTTCTTCCCCTGTTCGCTCATTGCATTCCCCACTACCCACGCTGGCTCTTCCTGTGCTGCCACACACGCCCATGCCCCCACCCTTTTTACTCCCTCCTTCTTGCTCCGCAGCTCCTGCTCCCCTTCCAGCACCAGCCCTCTCCACATTCGGCGCATCAGCCACTGCATCACCTGTCCGTCCATTGCCTGTCCTAATGCCTTCCTCCTTTCCTGTTCTGTCACCCCTGCTGCCTTCGTTATGTCTTCCCCATACCCCATTGCCAGCTCCCGCTCCAGTGCCGTTGGTTCCTCCCACTGCTTTGTCTTATGATCGTACACCATGCCTTCTCCTGGCACTCCTCCTTCCTCCCTGAACCCGGCTGCCCCCTTGTACCCCACCAGTGTCGGCCAAGCCCTGCGTACTGCCCCCACCTTGTTGCATGGGCACTGTGTCTCGTGCCTGCCTTTCCTTACCGGCGCCGCTGTCCTGCCTGGCTCTAATATCTCTTGCACCGTCCTGCTCCAGTCCCTTCGTATCCCATCCAGCTCCCTCTGCAGTTGTTCGTCCGTCACGACATTTTGCCAATACCTTCTGACACGGTGAGCCCGTGCCCCCAGCCTGGCCGCATCACACCTCACGCCCTTTCCCAGCTTCCTTGTCACTAACTCTTGGATTTTTCTGACTGGTTCCCGGCAGTCTCCCTCTAGATCTATGTGCTCCAGCAGGTACACCACCTTCTCCTGTCTTTCCTTGATCCAGTCTATGATGCTCAGCAAATTGATGAGCAGTGCTCCCCTTGGATCCTCTAACCCCTTTCCTTTCCCTGCTCTCGAGACGGCCTGGCACTCCCACCCTGCTACCAGCAGGTCCACCTGCCCCCAGCCCCTCACCACTTCTCGTGTCACGTTCCTCACGTCGGTCAGCGTCCCTGACATTGCTTTGCTTATCACGGCCTCCTCTAGTAGCTCTGGATGCTCTTTCTGCAGCCTCCTTGCATGTTGTTCAGCCATCTTCCTCACCTGTCCGTCCTTCTCCACGTATATCCACTCCTTCACCGCTACTCCCGCTCTGAGCACCGCTGCCAACCCTGCGCCTATTCCCCCGAACAGCTCCACCAGCCTGATTGGTTCCTGCCACGCATTCGCTACCGCTGCTTCGCCCACTAGGCCCGCCTTCCCTCTCCCTTCGCTATCTGCTTGCTCGGCCGTGTACGCTCGTTTTGGCTCCTGCTTAGTGAATTGCACCGGCAGCTCCCCCGTTTTGCTCCCCCGCACCCAGTACTGCTTCCGAAACTTTACTTTCTCCTTCCATGTACAGATTGTCATCCCCACGCCCCATATCAGGTCTGTCCCCAGCAGCACATCGAAATCTTCTGAATCGGATATCCCACATTGCAGCCGAATGCTAGTCTGCTCCTCTTTTCCCGGCATCAGGACTATCTCCACCAGGTCCCTAGTACACGGCAGCCACTTAGGCTCGCCTCCCTCCGCGGTCATTACCTGCATTCCTCGCTTTATGTATTGCCCTGTTTCCGTCAGCCCCAGCTTCCGTGCCAGCTGCTTCCCCAACATCACACTTTGGGCTCCTGTGTCCAAGATTGCTGTTTTTGCTATCTCTCCGCCCACTGCCACTGCCCCTGCTTCTGCCACCAGCACCGTTGCCTGACTAGCTAGCCGATCTTTGGGATGCCTCGCTGGCTCCTCTCCTTCCTCACCCTTCTCCTCTAGCCTCTGTTTCGGTCTGGCCCTTTCCTTGGTTGTGGGGTCCTTCCTCCCATCCCTACCCCCGCTGCGCAGGCCCAGCTCCTCTCTGCTGCGGAGCGCCATGAAATTATACTCCGGCTCTGGTTCCTCTATCACTTCTGCCTCGTCATCCTCCTCCCTGGCATATAACCCCACCTCCTTCTCCTTTTTCCCACCCATTGCCTGCAGCTGCGCCTGTAACCTCCCTATCTGCCCTTCTATGTCCTCTGGAGTCCTCCTCGGCCCCCCTGTGCGTTGATAACAGTCTCTCCCCTTGTGCCCTCGCTTCCCACAAACCTCACATGTTGGTGCATCCGGGCAATCCCTGCGTCGATGCCCCGGCTTCCCGCAGGTGTCGCAGTTCCTGCAATTCCTCATCAGATGTCCTGGCTGCTTGCATCGGTGGCAGGTGCGCGTTTCAGCCCCCTTTTCTGCCCGGCTATCCTCCCTACCCCCTGTCTCTGGTACTGCTGCTGCTGCCCAAGCGGGATTCCTCTTCTCAGTCGGCCTCGGTAGGTACACCTCATACTTCCTCTGTGCCAGCTCCACTCTTTCTGCTAGCTCAAACACCTCCTCCGGTGTCGCATCCGCTCCTAGTTCGTAGACCCTCATCCTCAGTCCCCCTGCCAACCCCTTGTCCAGTCCATTCAGGAATTTACTGATGATCATGCTGCTGTCCGTGCAGACCACGTCTTCTGCCAGATTCATCAACCGCCCATAATACGTCAGCAAGGATTCTTCATCCCTCCTCCTGAACTCTTGGAATTCTTTGATGCGTGCTGCTGTGTGCCCTGGGAACTGCCTCCTCAGCCTATCCAGAAACAGCACCGTCGGGTCCTCTTCATCCTCATCTGCCCTTCTCAGCCACTCCCCCATCTTCATGCGATATAGGGTTTCTGCTTCCCCCCCCAGTGTATTTGGCAGGCTGAGAAAGAAATCTATGGGATCCATGCCGCTTCGATCACACCGGTACTTGACGTTGCTTATCTGCATCAGGTAATTCTTGAGGCTTGGTCCCGTGCTCTCGTTCCCCGTGAAGCGCACCGGCACCTCCACCCGTGGTGCTGCCGTTGCGTTCCATCTCCCTAAATCCCAATTTCCCGAGCCTCCCCGCTCTGACAGAGCAGCCCCTCGCAGCTTTCCCTTTTCTCCTCTGCTTCCTGCACTTGTCCCGTACAGTGCTCGCTCCAGTCCCTCACGAGCCGCTCTGGCCCCACTTGATCCCTCCCCGTATTGCCGCAGCCTCCCTGTGCCGATTGGACTCGAACCTCTCTTCTGGTCGTCTTCACGGTGGCTCCTGTACCTTTCCAGATCCTCCCATCTTCCCACTTTCTGCACAGGTGAGCGCTCCTGGCGATGTCGCTCTTGTTCCCTTCGCTGCTGACTTCCTCCTGCTCTGGAGCCGTACGGTGATCGCCTTTCCCCGCCTCTTTCTCGTCCTTCTTGGTGGCATACCCGCTCCTTCCCAGGCGGGCTCTGATGGCGTCGCACCTCGTAGTCCATCCTGTCTTCCCGCTTTTCCCGATCTGCTTGCCGACCTCCGCCCATCGCCATGCGCCGCCCGTGATCATACCCTGGCCTTGGCTCAGGTGAGCGGAAGACTCCTGCTGACGCCCTCCTTTCTTCTTCCTCTTCTCGCCGCGCCCCCGTTTGGCGCTCCATTTCCCTGACGCTCCTTCGCTCCATTTCTTCATGCCTTCTCGCAGGTGAGTGCTTCCCATCTCTGTCTTCTTCGTCATCCTCTCGCTCCTTGCCGCGTCGGACTCGCTCCCTTTCATCCCTTCTCTTGTACCCTTGTTCTCCTCCTTCCCGTGCAACAGGGAAATCCTGCCCGACGTTGGTGATGTCACGCCTTGCGCCGCCCCGCGTGGGGGACTCTCCGACATCAGCGAGATCACACTCTCCGCCGCCCCGCGTCATGGGATACTCTTCCTTGTCAGCTGCGGCGCGCCTTCCGCCGCCCCGTGCCGTGGGGGATCCTTCGTCGTCAGTCGCGCCGCGCTTTTCGCCGCCCCGCGCAGTGGGGGATTCTTCACTGCCAGCCGCCTCACGCCTCCCGCCGCCCCGCGCAGTGGGGAATTCTTCCTCGTCAGTCGCGCCATGTGCGCCTTCCGCCGCCCCGCGCAGTGGGGGATTCTTCGTTGTTGCTGATGTCACGTCCTCCACCACCTTGAGCAGGCTGGGGTTCTTCCCCTCCATACTCGTCGCCCTGCTCGCTGGCGACATCCATCTCCATATCGCCATCGTGGCGCTCTTGATCCACCCCGCGCTGGCCTTCCGCCAGATTCCACGGATTGCTGGTCGCGGGCCGCCTCGAAGGCTCCGATCTGATGCGCAGATCCTCCCCGCTTCCTTCCTGTCGCACGCCCGTTGGCGTCACTGGATCCGCGCGATACGCTGCCCGTCGTGGCGAGCGCGTCGGCGACCTCCCACGCTCCCTGGAGCGCCTCATTCGCGACGGAGATCTCTCCCGCCGCGAGTACGTACGCTGCATGCGCAGATCATGGCGATCCATGTCGCCGGTCAATTTCTCTCGTTTGTGAGAGATTCAGGCTCCCACTGCTGGCTACCAAGAGTGGCGTTAGTCACCTTGCTGCAGTAGCTTAGAACGGTAACGTAAGTCCACTATGCTCTGGTAAACAAACGAGAGAACAGGAGTCCTTTGCTAGGGTAGGCTAATTTATGCTAGGCCACCCAGTCGCGAGTTGCTCAGCGTGATGGGTTGGGCTCGAGCCGCCTTGGCCTTGGATTGGCCTTGTGCCAGATTTCCTGTCTCCCGAGGGCCCTGGAATTGTGCCCGCAGCGCCTTGCAATTCCCCATAGTACCAACTTCGCGTTCCTCCCAATGCCCCACCTACCCTGTGTTCAAACTGAATAACAACTACTACACTACTTCTACACCCCAGTTAGCACAGTTACAGAATATGATGCACTTACCATGATATTCAGTGACAGCCCGTGTGTATGTGTGATTGTGAGGCAGGACTACTCAGGGGATTCGAGCTACTCCTTTGCCAGCAGCAGCGATTTCTATACATGGCTCAACAACAGCATCATTCAGGTGAGTTCATTTCACACAGCGTAAAGAGTTGAGGTGCGTGCGTGTGTGTGTGCATGCAGCAGCAGCGATTTCTATACATGGCTCAACAACAGCATCATTCAGGCGAGTCCATTTCACTGGTTGCTAGCTTGTAGGCGTTATTCAGCCTTATTCAGCCTTCAGGTGCCTAAAAGCTAGCAACCTGTGATCTCAGCAAGGGCGTGGGCCTGGACTGAACAAGTGCATCCCGAAATGATTTCGTGTGTGGGCAGTCCGGTTGACCTCATAATGCTTCACCCTCTAATAATGATTTCAGCGTAAACCCTCTCTCCCCCCCCCCCTCCCCCGCAGGTCATATGGTCGGACCCCCAATGTGGTGACGGCACATGCACTCCCCCAACCGAATTCCCCGCGGTGGGTCGATTCGGCTGCGCCCAGGACTGCGGTAACGCGCGTAACGTTACAACGGTGACGGTGGCACTGCGATGCCACTTTGCCTCGAGGGAAGCCATGCTGAGCAGCTCCTGGAACCTCTGCTCTACCGCCATCCGAGACGTGTGCTGGTGAGTGTGTGAGTGTGTGACTGTGTGTAGCAGTGGTGGTGACGGTGGCACTGCCGTGCCACTTTGCATCAAGGGGGGCCATGGTTAGCAGCTCCTGGAATCTTTGCTCTACCGCCAATGCCATCCGAGACGTGTGCTGGTCAGCCCTCTCTCTGACTTTTGAGTCGACTCAAAAGTCACCTCGTTACAATGGCACACGTGTGCTGGTGAGCCCTCTCTCTGTACCACTGTGGTGAGTGGATGAGATAGTGAGTGAGCCTGGGAGTCAGAGTGAGTGAGTTTCCCTTTCCTCACCTGCCCCCCCTTCTCCTCCTCTCCCCTCCCGTCCCCTTTCCTCCCCTTCTGTCCCCTCCCCTCCTCTCCCCCCTAACACCAGGTTCCAGGACCCCCAGACCTTCACGGAGATGAAATGACGGGCTGGCACACATGCGCGAAGGTCTGCGGGTCCTGGAACCTGCAGGACCCGCGAGGGCAGGTCACAGTGCGCCTGCCCGCCCTCCCTAACCCCTGCTAAGCCCCACACCCTCTCCCCATATCCATCTCCCCACCGATACCCTTTCAGGTTCCAGGACCCCCAGACCTTCACGGAGATGACAGGCTGGCACACGGTTACAGTGCGCCTGCCAGACAACGACTGGTTCGTCTCCCTCACTGCCCCCAGCGGTGGCATCGGTGTCACCGTGTACGAGTCCCTGGGGAGGAAAAACACAGGCGCTTTAGAGCCGGACCTGCCCTGCTAAGCCTTTCCCCTTTCCCATTCCGTCCCTTCCCTAATTTCTCCTCCCCACACCCCCCATTCTCCACAACCTACCAGGTTCCAGGACCCCCAGACCTTCACGGAGATGACGGGCTGGCACACGGTTACAGTGCGCCTGCCAGACAATGACTGGTTCGTCTCCCTCACAGCCCCCAGCGGGGGCGTCGGTGTCTACGTGTACGAGTCCCTGGGGAGGAAGACAGATGGTGGAGCGGCTGAAGGTACTGGGAGTCATGCAGCCTCGCAGAGCCATGCAGAGGCAGACTCGCCCTCCGGTCTCAACCTTAACGTCTCAGCTGCTGGTGGCTCGGTTCTCTCAGCAGCACCACCGCCGCCAACCCCTGTTTCCACCACACCTGCCTCTGCTTCCTTCCAATTCCAACCACCCTCCTCCTCCTCCCCGTCTGCTTCGCGTGCCCCTCCGCGGTCTACGAAGGAGTATCTGCGGCCTTCCAATGGAACGGGGGCGAATGTGCTGCTGGCGAGTGTTGATGGGTGTGTGGAGGACGGCGAGAGCGGTCTGCAACTGTGCAGACAGGTACTGTACGGCGGATGGCCGTAGCATGCTGCAGCAGTGCAAAGAGGTGCAGTGCGGTGTCAGGTGTTGTCAGCACTCTGCTCCCTGCTCTCTGCGCACTCTGCTCCCTCTTCTCCTCACTCCTCTCTCCCCTTTCCCTCGCTTCTCCCATGCCCTTTTGAGACGTCGCAAAAGTCTTCTCCTCACTCCCCTCTCCCCTTTCCCTTGCTTCTCCCATGCCCCAGACCTGTGCCATATGGACTATCTGTCTCCCACAACTGTGCACCAGAAGCAGCAGCAGCAGCAGCAGCAACTCATCGAATAGCAGCAGCAGCAGTGCTGCCACGTCTCTGCCCATGCGTGTGGCATCTGCAGCGCTAGGCAGTTGCTTCCAGGCGTGCAACGCCATGCTGCTAGGCACCTCCTTCGACCCCCCTGACAACATCTCCTGCTCCCAGGTGAGGTAGTTCGTGTGTGCATTCCCTTTGTCATTCCCAACACTAGCAGCGCAAGCGGCAGTGCTGCCACGTCTCTTCCCCCTCTCATGAATCAGCAGCGCTAGGCAGTTGCTTCCAGGCCTGCAACGCCATGCTGCCAGGCACCACCTTCGTCCCCCCTGATAACATCACCTGCTCCCAGGTGAGGCCACTCCCTTCGACACATTCCAAACTGAAGTATGTTTTTCGAGAATTCTCAAAAGACCACTTGCTTCGACACATTCCAAACTGAAGTGCCCAAACCAAAAGATGTGCCATTCTGCCAGGGACCTCCTTCGACGCCCCTGATAACCTCACCTGCTCCCACCCATGTCAAATCGTTCTTACACGCATTCGTTCGTTTCGTTGCATTTGTGAGCATTTCTAGGTTTGAAAAGCATGTTCGTGCGTCTCACCAAACACCATCCTGCGCCTACCCTCTCTCCTGCCCCTGACGTCGTTCTGCCCCTACCTTCCTCTTGTGTCCTGCCCTTTTTGTTTCCCCCACCAAACAATGGTGCCCCTGCCAGGCGTTCACTCTGTTTGAGGCGTCTCTGCAAACACCCCCATGCACTGGTGCTGCCTCCTTGCCCCTACCCTGTTTTTGAGTGGACTCAAAAACAGTGCTCCCTCGTTGCCCCTACCCTTCTCCTGCCCCCACCCACCCTCCTGCTGCCATTTCGTCATATCCTGCTGCAGTTTCTGCCACTTCTCCTACCCTCACTTCTGCTACCCTCACTTCTCCTACCCTCACTTCTCCTACACTCAATTCTCCGTCACCTCTTGCCTGCCTGCCAGGCGCCTTGAACGCACATCATCACCTGCCTCCTCTGATCCTACCTCACGTGTCCTGCCTGCATCTGTGCTGATATGCTGAATCTGTTTTTTGAGAATTTTCGAAAAACAGATTCACCATCACCTGCGTCCTCTGGTCGTACCACGTGTGCATGTGTGCATGTGTGCAGATATGCTCTCTGAGTCCCCTGCAGCATCAGGTTCCCAGCCACCTACAACAGCAGCGGCACCAACAGCACCAGCAGCAGCAGCATCAGCTGCAGCAGTGGAGACACCAGAAGCGTCAAGTTCCCTGTCTGCTCGTTTGCTACTTGAGTCGTCTGCTCACAGCAGCAGCGCCAGCAGCAACAGCCACGTGCACGAACCTCCTCAAAACACTCCGTGCCGCCCTTCCATCATCCCAGGCGCTCCCTGCACCTCTGCTCCCAGTGGTGTCAGCACCTCTGTTTCCGAAGAGCACCCGATGTCCTCCCCACACCCCTCTTGGTCTACCGGGTCTCACTTGAGTCCCTGGACTGGCATGGCGTCAGTGCAGCTGGTATGCTGCAATTTCATCCCATGCTGTCTTTCAGGAATGATACATGCTTTTTTTTTATCCATTGTCTTGGGGTTGTCTTTCGGTTGTCGTTGGTGTTGAATACGCATCAACACATCCCAATTGTCCTTCCTGCTCTGCACGTCTTTTCTATTTCCGTTTCTGTCTAAGATTCCCCTCACGACTTGCCATACCTGCATCTCCATGTGTATGTGTTTTGAGACGTCTCAAAACACTTGCCATACCTGCATCTCGATGTCTCCCACCCGCCAGCACCACCAGCAGCTGAGGCAGAAGCTAAGGGAGGAGGGGGTCGGTGCTCCCAGCCTGCACGCTCCCAGCCTGCACGCTCCCAGCCTGCACGCTCCCAGCCTGCACGCTTCCAGCCTGCACACTCCTCCTCACAAGAGTGCCCTCACGGCCCGTGCTGTTCGCTCCAGCCGCCAGCTCTTTCCCTCTCCACCAACTTCCTCCTTCATCCCAGGTGCCTCCGCCCTGCCCTTTTGGTAGATTTTGAGTCCGTTTAAAGTAACAAAACGCCCCTCACAAGCGTATTGGGGCTGCTCACTCCAGCCGCCAGCTCTTTCCCTCTCCACCAACTTCCTCCTTCATCCCAGGTGCCTCCCCCCGGTCCATCTGCTCTGTCGGCCAGTTGAAAACCGTTTGTCTCAGGTTCAAAGGCCTTTTTGACGTCTCGACCTTCCCCATTCGCTCACTCCTTCCCCATTCGCTCACTCCTTCCCCATTCGCTCACTCCTCCCCCATTCGCTCACTCCTTCCCCATTCGCTCACTCCTCCCCCCCATTCCCTCACTCCTTCCCCATTCGCTCACTCCTCCCCCATTCCCTCACTCCTCCCCCATTCCCTCACTCCTCCCCCATTCGCTCACTCCTTCCCCATTCGCTCACTCCTCCCCCACCTCCCTCCACCTCCTCCCAGTCAACCCCAGAAGTCGAGCCGCATTTTTCTTGTGCGTAAGGGCGCCTCAAAACCCCCATCTCCCCCCATTTCCCCATTTTTGAGGTGCCTCAATAGTAGACGACATCTCAAAAGTTTTGAGGCGCCTCAAAAGCAGCTCGTGTGTGAGAGCCGCCTCAGAAGCCCCTGCTCCCTCCATTCCCCCACGTCCATCCCCATCCCCTTCCACCACCCCCAACCGCCACCCACCTATCCTCCCTTACCACCCAGCCACCTCCTCCCAGCCAACAGCAGAAGCCCAGCGGCTCGTGTGGGAGAAGCGCCTCAAAAGCCCCATCTCCCCATGCGAGTAATTTTTTAGAATTCTCAAAAATCCCTCAGAAGCCCCATCTCCCCGTTCCCCCACATGTATGCATCCCCATTCGTCCCCTTCCACCACCCCCCATCCGGCACCCATCTCTTCCCTCCTTACCATCCAGCAACCTCCTCTCAGCCAATCGCAGAAGCCCAGCGGCTTGTGTGGGAGAGCCTCGGGACGTCAGACGGCGAGCGAATCAGGGCGTGCCAGGTGGCAGTGGCGCGGGCGCTGTACACCGCAGTGAAGGAGAACTGCCTGGCCGGCCCGACAGATAACAACAGCAGCACTGCCAGCATTGGTAGCAGTGGCAGCAGTGCCAGCAGTGCCAGCAGCACCACTATCACCACGACCAGTAGCAGCAATGATTACAGCAGCAGCACGGCGCAGTCCTCTCCAGCCAAGAGCCTCTCCCTGGCCTCGCGCAATCGCCTCGTCGCCTTCGTCTGCACGCTCTTTGCTGGCCCTGTGGCCTCCCACCCCCGCTGCAACTTCACGGACGCTTCCTCCGGGCGGCAGCTGAAGGAGCAGGCAGAGCTGGTGGATTACATTCGAGCGACACACCGCAGGTGAGGAGGAGAGTGAGGGGAAGATTCAAGAGAAAAACTCGCACAAATGCGCCCTGTTCGTGTTCTCCTTCTCCCATCCTTGCTTCCTCTACTCATTTTCATATCTTCCTCTTCCGACGCCCATCCCGGTTTCCCCCTTTTTTTGCCGCCCCCCCTTCTCAGTCCCTCCCGCCGCTTCTCTGCCGCCCAGCAGGCCCTTTTCGTCCGCATCCTTGTTATGGCACTGCAGTCAGTCGTGCAGAAAATGCCGAGCGATGCCGTCCAAGCTGCCTCCCACCTGCTGCACATCTTCAACGATGCAGTGGTCTCCCCAGACGCCTCGCCGTGCCCCCAAGGTGCATCTCTTTTTCTCTCAGCACACAGAGATGCCCTCTCTGTTTCTCTCAGGTGCTCTCTGTTTTTCTGTCATGCCACCCACCTGCTGCACATCTTCAACAGCGCAGTGGTCTCGCCAGATGCCTTGCCTTGCCTCCAAGGTGCATCTCTGTTTCTCTCAGGTGCTCTCGGTTTGTTCTCACTCTGTTTGTTTCAAGTTTCTTTCTGTTTCCCACTCATGGACTCGAATCAAGATCTTCCTCTTCTACCCACCCCCCTCTCCCCTCCCCCTCTCCCTTCCCACTCTCCCCTCTCCCCTCTCCCCTCTCCCCTCTCCCCTCTCCCCTCTCCCCCTCCTTCCCCCCCCAGCGGACTACATCGTGTTGTGGGACTCAGCATCCTTCACCCGCCGCCTCATATCAGACGGGCAGCGCATCACGTGGGTGTGGAACGACGACGACTACCACTCGCTCTCAGGTATGTCTGAGTCGCTTTTGAAGCTTCTTGAAAGCAATAATTTTTCAAGAGTGAGAATTTTCAAGAGTGAGAGTTTTCAAGAGTGAGAGTTTTCAAGAGTGAGAATTCCTAAAAGTGAGAATGTTTCGCCTGAGGCAGCAAGTCACGTGGGAGGGTGTGGAACAACGACAAATACCGCGAGCTTTCAGGTCTTCTCTTCTCTCTCCCTCTCCTTCCTTCCCCTCACCGCAGCAGGCTCGGCGGGCTTATTGGAGCCATTCCTGGGGTTTGGAGCGGGGCGGCTCGGCCTATCACGGCTTGCCACGTGTGCATGGGATAACATCGGCCCCAGAGATACTTCGGATGAGCCTGCGCCATGCGTGCTGCGTGAGTGATGATGTGTCATGCCATGCTGGCATTTTGTTTCATGCCAGCTGACATGTGGTGACATGCATGCATGCATGCATCTGTGCTCTTCTTTTCTGTCGTAATCATACCTCACCGCTGCATTTTCCTTACAAAAAGGTTTTTGGCATTGCGATTTATATAAAATCTTTGAGCGCGTGCGAGCTCTCAACTCAACTGCTCTACTGGCCTCACACCCTTCCCTGCAGGCTCACCCGACGACACATCGCCGCCCCAGTTTGCATACACCAAGGTGTTTGGCACGGCGCGGGAAATGGCAGTGAAAGACTCGCCTCAGTCTCTCGCATTCACTCTCATCCGCGCTCGGAATGATTCAGGTGTGGGCATGGGCTGGGCGTGTGGGGCATGGGCTGGGCGTGTGGGGCATCAGCATACTCACCAGCAGCAGAGCAAAGCCTGCAGCCTAGTTTTGTGTGTGCCTCCCTAACTCGTGATGCCTGGTGAATCTCTCTGCCTCGCCCTCCCTTTTTGTTCCCCCGTCTTTCCAACCACCACCAGCAACCCAACCGCGCACCTCCCTTGCACGACCAGCAACCCAGCCCCGTGAATCCCTTCCTTGCCCCCTACGCCCTCCTCCTCGCCTCTGTCTGCGCCCCCGCTTGTCAGAAATAGGCTTAGAAGCGATGCATTAGTAATGAGCTTGAAGCTCTTTAAGTACATCCAAGAGGGGTAGGAAAAGGATGGGGAAGGGAATCGGGGGCAATCTCTAGGGATTGGGGGTAATCCCAAGGCAATCTCCAATTGGTGGGTTGGAGATTGGTTGGAGATTACATTTGGGTTTGGTTGGGATGTAGGTGTACACCCAACCAAACACAATGTGCAAACTACACTACTCTAGGATATAGAAAATACAAAGTACAAATTGTGAGATTGAAGACTAACACTAACACCCCCCCATAGGCGTCAATCGAACTCAGGGTAGAGAGGGTGGAGCACAGAGCCCCATGGCGCCAAGGAGACGGTGGTGGGGAACTTTCCCAAGGGGCTTGGTGAACAGATCAGCCAGGTTGCAGTCAGATGCAACGTATTCCACTTTCAACTGCTCTTGTTGGACAAGGTCACGGATGAAGAAGTGCCGGAGTTCAATGTGCTTGGTGCGGGTGTGATACACAGGGTCTTGAGAGATGTGGATGGTACTCTGGTTGTCACACCAGAGGGTAGGGGCGGACTGTGGGAAACCAAGTTCCTGGAGGAGGAAGGTGAGCCAACGAGCCTCCTGAGCAGCCATGGTGCCTGCGTAGAGCTCTGCCTCACATGAGGAGAGGGAGACTGCAGACGACCTGGTGGAGCGCCAACTGACAATTCCGCTCCCAAGGGTGAAGCAGTACCCCTGAGAGGAGCGTCGGTCGGTCTGGTCATCAGCCCAGGAGGAGTCGGTGTAACCCTCTAGGCGAGGAGGGGAGAGCCCACCGAGTGTGAGGACGTGAGACTTGGTGCCCTGAAGATAGCGCAACACCCGCTTGGCTGCCTTCCAGTGAAGGTCAGTGAAGCGTCCAGGGGCCACGTAGCGAGAGAGGACACTGACAGGATAGGCCAGGTCTGGCCGGGTGCACATCATGGCGTACATGAGGGACCCAACAAGCTCCGGGTATGGCTCAGAGCAGGCCTCTGGTGTGGGTACCGCTGGAGCTGTGAGGAGGTGTTGCAGCGGCAGCGGGGTGGCAACAGGTGTGCATAGCTCCATCTCAAATCGCTTGAGCACATTGTCGATGTAGAACTCCTGGGAGAGTGAGATGGTGCGAGCCTTGCGATCACGAGTGATCTCCATCCCCAGGTAGTGCTTGAGGTCACCGAGGTCTTTCATCTGGAGAGCCTTGCTTAGGGCTGCCTGGACTGAGGTCATCTGGGCCGAGTCCTTGGCCACGAGGATGAAATCATCCACGTAGACTAGGATGTAGAAGGGCTCAGAATGACGGCGGATGAAGAGAGTCGGGTCAGCAGTTGAAGGGTGGAAGTCCAGGGAGAGGAGGACTTCTTTCACCTTGTTGTGCCATTCGCGAGGGGCTTGCTTAAGGCCGTAGACGGGGCGATTCAGCTTCCAGACAGTGTTGGGAGGGAAATCTCCTGGGAAGCCTTCTGGTCTGTCCATGAACACTGTCTCCTTGAGACGTCCTTGTAGGAAGGCGGATGAGGCATCCATGGATTTGATCTCGAAGTCTTCTCGAGCTGCGACATCCATGAGCGTACGAATGGTGGGAGGTTTGGATGTGGGGGAGAAGGTTAGGAAGAAGTCGCGGTACTGCTGCTGGGTGAAGCCCTTGGCTACGTAGCGCGCTTTAAACACCGGTGCCTCGTCTGGGAGCTGTTTTACACGGAACAACCACTTGCCCCCGACGATGTTGACTCCTGGAGGTGGAGTCTCGTCGTCGAAGGAGTGGTTGCGGGTGAATGCTGCAATCTCCGCGTCCATGGCAGCACGCCATTTGGCAGAATGAGGGCCTGAGAGAGCCTCTTGGACGGTGAGAGGGATAGGGATGGTCGGGTTCTCCGCGAAGTTGAGGGAGGGTGAGCCAGTGATGTCGGGGAAGATGTGTGAGAGCTGAGGAAGGACTGCATGGAGATCACACAGTTCCTCATGCCTGTCTTCTAGAAGGGTAGAGGGCACATCCCCCCCAGCAGGAGGAGGCGGTGTGATCGCGGTGTATCGAAGAACCATCGCGAGTGGAAGAGTAGCGCGATGTGAGCGAGTGCCATGAGCCACCGGGGAAGAGGGTGGGGCTGGCGGGGTCGGAGAGGGTGACTTAGCAGGCTTGGGCGGGGGAAGGGGTCGCCGGCGGTACGTGATCAGCTCGGGCGACTGTGGGAGAGCGGGTTCCTCTGTGGTGGGGGGAGCCGGGGGAGGAGGTGGGGCCGGAGGGTGGGACCGCCGATGGTAGGTGATAGGTGCGCTCGGAGGGGGCGGCGCAGCGGGAAGTGGGGAAGGTGAGGGGGAGGGAGGAGCAGCTGCCGAAGACACCGGTGAGGCCGGGTCAGTGACCTCAGAGGGAGATGGTGCGATGGCAGGAGAGGGAGGAGGTGAGGGAGCAGGAGCAGGCGGGAGGTCGGGAGGCGCATCAAAGTCTGCCCACACGAGGGAGGGTGGATCAGGGTTGAGGAGGACATAGGCGGTGCATCCCCAAACGCGAAGAGAGCGAGCAGTGGGCGTTTTCCCGAGCCAGAGTGTGGTTGGAGTGGTGTCGGGAAGGTGCGGGTGGGGGTAAAGGTTGTAGAGGAGGGCAGCGTGGTAGAGAGCGTACCCCCAAAGAGAGTGAGGAGCGTTGGAGTGGCTGAGGAGGCACCGAGTGATCTGCACCAGGGTGTGGTTGCGGCTCTCAGCTATGCCGTTCTGTTGAGGGCTGTCAGGGAGGGTGAAGTTTTGCTGGATGCCTTCGGAGGAGCAGAAGGCTTTGAGCTTGTCGTTGCAGAACTCACCCCCCCCATCCGAGTGAAGGCGCTTGACCTTGCGGTCAAAAGTGGTCTGTGCCTGCTTGACCCACGCTATGATGACCTGGTCAAGCGGGGTGCCTCCCTCCCTCCCACCAGCACCCCAGCCCCGCGAATCCCTTCAACCATACGCGCTCCTCCTCGCCTCCCTCTGTGCGCCTGCCTGCCTGCCGCCTCTCCATGCTGGCCAACGGCCGCTGCGACCAGCCCTGCAACGTCGCTCTCTGTTGGTTCAGACGTCTCAAAACTCAACCCTGCAGCGCGCCCCTTTGCACCTTCTGACTCCTCTCCCCTACCCCCAACCATTCCCCATTCCCCCTCCCCGAAGCAGCAACCCAACCGCGCACCTCCGTTGCCCCCTACGCGCTCCTCCTCGCCTCCCTCTGTGCACCGGCCTGCCGCCTCGCCATGCTGGCCAACGGCCGCTGCGACCAGCCCTGCAACGTGGCCCTCTGTGACTTTGACGGGGGTGACTGCGCTTGCAGCGGCGCTGGGACTGGGGGAACGTCAGGTGTTGGGAGCAGCGTGAGCAGTGGCAGTGCTGGTGGGGGCACTGCTGCTGCTGCTGCTGCTGCTGTTGGTGATGTTGGGGCAAGTGGAGGAAGCAGCAGTAGCAGCAGTGGCAGCACTGGTGGTGGTGCGAGTGGGGGTGTGGGTGCGGGAGGAGCAGCCGGTGTGCAGTGGTGTGCGTGCCCAGTGCTGCAGATACGAGGCGATGATGGAGGTACGTGCGTGTCGTTGTCGTTGTCGTTTGGGTTAAGGTAAACGGGTTCATGTTCTCGATCGAGGCTTGCTGTGGCTCGAATCTATGAATTCCATTGTTGGTGATGGTTGGAGCGAAGGGAGCAGCAGTGGCAGCACTGGTGGTCGTGCGAGCGGGGGTGGGAGCATGGGTCTGTCTTTGAGTCGACTCAAAAACAAGTCGTGCGAGCGAGTGGGGGTGGGAGCATGGGTCTGTTTTTGAGTCGACTCAAAAACAAGTCGTGCGAGCGAGTGGGGGTGGGAGCATGGGTCTGTTTTTGAGTCGACTCAAAAGTTGCACTGGTGGTTGTGCGAGTGGGGGTGGGAGCATGGGGGGAGCAGCGGGTGTAGTGTGGTGTGCGTGTCCGGTGTTGCAGGGCGATGATGGAGGTGCTGTGAAAGACAGGCAATGAAAGGTGCGTGCTTGCGGTTGTCTTTGAGGCTTCTCAAAAGGGAGATGACAGAGGTGTTCAAATGTTTTTTGAGAATTCTCAAAAAACAAACAGTGACAGAGGAGCAGTGGCTTTCTTGTCTAGTACAGAGAGGCCTTTCTCCCGGAGGTGCGGAGGCTTTTCTTTCATATCCGTCTCACAACTTGTTTGCACACATGCGTGCTGTAGCTGTTGTACAAATGTCACTGATGAGAGGGAGTAGTCAGTCACGCATCCCTTTTTCCCCTTCAACCTACCTGCTCCCTCGCCCAATCAGTCGCCTTCCCAGCGTGCTGTGAGGCAGCAGGAGCAGGCACAGGCATCAAGTTCCCCTTCAGTCTGTGCGGGTTCGGGCCCACCGTGCATCCCCTGGACTCCAAGTTGACTTTAGAGTCGACCTAACAGTTACCTCGGCTCCACTTTTGGCGCAACCACTGCTGCGCTACCATAGAGGCACCCTGCAGTTCCCTCCTCTTTCCCCTTCAACCTCCGCCCTCTGCTTCCTCTCCCCCCCCCACCCATCCCCCAGCGTGCTGTGAGGCAGCAGGAGCAGGCACGGGAATCAAGGTCCCTTTCAGCCTGCACAGGTTCGGCCCCGCCGTGCATCGAGCCACTGCGCTGCCCCGTGTGGTGTCCCAGTACAATAGGTGCGTGGGTGGGTGTGGCGTCCTGGGTGTGGCGTCCTGGGTGTGGGGTCCTGGGTGTGGGGTCCTGGGTGTGGGGTCCTGGGTGTGGGGTCCTGGGTGTGGCGTCGTAGGTGTGGGTTGTGGGTGTGGGTTGTGGGTGTGGGTTGTGGGTGTGGGTTGTGGGTGTGGCGTCGTAGGTGTGGGTTGTGGGTGTGGGTTGTGGGTGTGGGTTGTGGGTGTGGGTTGTGGGTGTGGGTTGTGGGTGTGGGTTGTGGGTGTGGGTTATGGGTGTGGGTTGTGGGTGTGGGTTGTGGGTGTGGGTTATGGGTGTGGGTTGTGGGTGCGGGTTGAGGGTGTGGGTTGTGGGTGTGGGTTGTGGGTGTGGGTTGTGGGTGTGGGTTATGGGTGTGGGCCCATGCTCTTATACAGTATAAGAGCATACAGGTTCTTATAGGTTATGAACCTGTACGGCAGGGTATACACTCCATACAGGTTTGGCCCCGCCGTGCATCCCCTGGAGTTCACCCTAGGCAGCACGGCCACTGCGCTGCCCTGCCCCGTGCTGTGTCCCAGGTGCAACAGGTGCGTGGGTGGGGGTGGCTCTGGGATTGTATTGGTTTTGCTTTCTGTTGCACCTGTTGCTTCCTGTTGCAACAGGTGCAACAGGTGCGTGGGTGGGGGTGGCTGTGGGATTGTGCTCTTATACGCTGTTTTCTGTCTGTATTGGTTCTGGTTTCTTGCGCCGGTCTGTATTGTCAAAAGTGCACCCTTGGCAGCACGGCCACTGCGTTGCCCCGTGTTGCCTTGCACTACAACAGGTGCGTGGGCTCACAGTCGGCGCCGCGTTGTTGTCACACCATCTCCTTACATGCTGAGGTCGTTTTTGAGGCGCCTCAAAAACCTCTCCTTACATACATGCATGCATACATGCTTTTGAGTCGACTCAAAAACAGGCGTTGTTGTCACACCATCTCCTTACATGCATGCATGCTGTTTCTTCCCTCTCCTGTCCCTCGTCTCCCTCCTGTCCCTCCTGCCCCTACTGTCCCTTCTGTTCCTCCTTCTCCTCCTGTCCCTCCTGTCCCTCCTGCCTCTCACCCCCCCCTCACAGGGTACTGATGGGGCTCATCATTGTGCAATACCGCTGGGACTCTGATGACTGTGGCAAGAGCAGGTGAGTGACTGAGGCACACGCATGGGCATGAGCACGAGAGTGGTGAGGTGAGGCACACACATGGTCCAGCTGTTTTCACATTCTCGAGCATAGAGCATACCCGTTCCTGCAGCTGAAGCCTTAAGGAATCTCCCATCCCCTCTCCCACCCTCACACCCCCCTCCCCTGTGCAGGTTTCACTTCCAGGACGTGTGTGTGAGAGGCGAGTCATCCAAGGCGTTCGGGGTGAACCCAGTCTTCCTGCCGTCCTCCTTACAACACCAACATTACCCTGCCTTTCTCCCCAACACCCTGACCCCCAACCCTATGTGCAGGTTCCACTTCCAGGACGTGTGTGTGAGAGGCGAGTCATCCGAGGCGAGCCTGTCACTCTCAGGCCAAGAGGAACCTTTCTCACCCCCCACTCCCCCGTTCCCCCTCCTCCCCTGTGCAGGTTTCACTTCCAGGACGTGTGTGTGAGAGGCGAGTCATCCAAGGCGTTCGGGGTGAACCCAGTCTTCCTGCCGTCCTCCTTACAACACCAACATTACCCTGCCTTTCTCCCCTACACCCTGACCCCCAACCCTATGTGCAGGTTTCACTTCCAGAATGTGTGTGTGAGAGGCGAGTCATCCGAGGCGTTCGGGGTGAACCCGGTGTTCCTCCCGTCCTCCTCGCTATACAACGCCAATGCTGCTGCCAACAGGACCGCCTACACCAACGAATCATTCGCCAATCCCTTTGAGCTCAACGCTAAGGGGTTACCCTACGGCTTTCAGCAGCTGGTGAGACTTTTTAAAGCAGCAGCGTTCTGGCATTTCTGTCAGGGCGCTCGGGGTGAATATGAATCTGGTCTTCCCTCCGTCCTCCTCCTCCCTGTACAACGCCAACGCAGCTGCCAACATCACCGCTTACACCAAAGGCTCATTCGCCAATCCCTTTGAGCTCAATGTTAAAGGGTGGCTTTTGAGGCACCTCGAAGAATTCTGAGACACCCAATCATTCTCCCCGCTCAACCGCCCCTCTCCCTTCCTTGCCAAATCCAGCCTGGCAGCAGCCGCTTCCCCCTGGTGTTTGACGTGAATCTGGACAATGGCGCGGCCTTGTAGGCGCCTCCTAGGATCCTGAGGCACCTGCAAAAATCTTCCTCACCTCCTCTCCCCCTCTCCCCTTGTCGAATCCAGCCCGGCAGCAACCGCTTCCCGCTGGTGTTTGATGTGAATCTGGACAACGGGGCAGCTCTCTAGGCGCCTCAAAACATTCTGAGACTCCTAAAAGAAAAATTTCTTGCTCAGCCCCCCTCCTCCCCCTCTCCCCTTGCCGAATCCAGCCCGGCAGCAACAGCTTCCCTTTGGTGTTTGATGTGAATCTGGACAATGGCGGGGCGACGCGGCGGCTGCAGTATCTGGTAGATGGGTTCTTCCTTGACAACTACACACGGAGCATTGACGTTGTTCTCATCACCCGTAATGGTGAGAGGGAGGGAGGGAGGGAGGGAGGGAGGAGAGGAAGGAAGGCGTGCTCAGTGCTGTGTGCTCATGGCAAGGCGCGGCGACGCGGCGGCTGCAGTATCTGGTAGATGGGTTCTTCCTTGACAACTACACGCAGAGCATTGACGTTGTTCTCATCACTCGCAATGGTAGGCAAGCAGGGAGGGGTGGAAGGGAAGCTTTTGAGGCGCCTCAAAATTGACGTCGTTCTCATCACTCGCAACGGTAGGCAAGCAGGGAGGGATGGAAGGGAAGCTTTTGTGGCGCCTCAAAATTGACGTTGTTCTCATCACTCGCAACGGTAGGCAAGCAGGGAGGGATGGAAGGGAAGCTTTTGAGGCGCCTCAAAATTGACGTTGTTCTCATCACTCGCAACGGTAGGCAAGCAGGGAGGGATGGAAGGGAAGCTTTTGAGGCGCCTCAAAATTGACGTTGTTCTCATCACTCGCAACGGTAGGCAAGCAGGGAGGGATGGAAGGGAAGCTTTTGAGGCGCCTCAAAATTGACGTTGTTCTCATCACTCGCAACGGTAGGCAAGCAGAGAGGGAAGGAAGGGAAGCACTGTGTCCACTGCCTCCAAAGCCATCCTCCTCCTCACCCATGCTCCCTCGTTCCCACTAATTCTGTCTTCTCTTTCCCCTGTTAATCCTTCTTGCGCCTGCCCCTCTCGCCTCTTCCTGCCGCCCCGATCAGCCAATGAGCAGCTCTTCACGGCCACTAAAGCCACCCTCTCCCTGCAGCCGGGCGGCAGCATGGACGCTACCTTCCTTATCCAGCCAGTCAACGTGGAGTACTACGACCTGAATGTGACGATCAACGTGATACGGCTCGTCCTGGAGCTGCTGTTCGTGGCCGGCGTGGTTTGGAATGTAGTGGAGGAGGTGAAGGAGATGATGTGGATGTGGAAGGTGCAGCGAAGGTCCTTCTGGCATTACTGGCGGCAGGGTTGGAACTGGGTGGACTGGCTCTCCATTTCCGTCCAGATTCTCTGCATCTGCATGTGGTGAGTGTGGGGTGATGCTGTGGCGTCATTGATTTGATGGAGGCGTTACTGATCTGAGGGAGTGAGTCCAGATTGATTGTGGATTGCGTCTACAGTGAGTGTGAGGGTTGGCTTTTTTGGCAGTGAGTGTGAGGGTTGGCTTTTTTTGGCAGTGACAAGTGCAAAGGCGGTCCTTCTGGCATTACTGGCGGCAGGGCTGAAACTGGGTGGACTGTCTCTCTATCTCTGTCCAGATTCTCTGCATCTGTTTGTGGTGAGTCAGAGATAATTGATGTTATGGTGTCCTTGTTGTGGTGGAATGAGTGTGAGTGTGAAGTGAGCTTTACCATGCAAGCCCGCCATGACATTCCCTGCACTTTTAATCAGTTCCCCCACAACTGAGCCCTCCCCAACTCGCCCTCTTCCCTTCCTGCACTCTCTCTCTCTCTCTCTTTCCCGCCTCTCTCCCCAAAGTACAGGATATCAATGGCAGTGTTAGCTGGGCAGACCTTTACCATGCAGGCACGCTACAACATCTACTACACTCTCGACGAGTACCCACGCTACTGGGCCCTTCCCAACCCGCCCTCGGGGTACCTGGCTGCAGTCGCTGCTGCCGACAAACTGGGCAGCATCATCAACACGAGCTCAGCTTACTTTGCCCTGCAGGGCATGAAGTGAGTGGGGTGTAGTGAGCGTCTTGCAGTGAGCGTCTTGCAGTGAGCGTCTTGCAGTGAGCGTCTTGCAGTGAGCGGGTCGCAAGGAGTGCCATAATGTCAGTGCGTTCACAAGCTTATGGATTCTCAGCCGCACATGAGCTTGGACTCATCACACGCTCATCATCACACGCTCATCATCACACGCTCATCATCACGCGCTCATCATCACATGCTCATCATCACACGCTCATCATCACACGCTCATCATCACATGCTCATCATCACATGCTCATCATCACACGCTCATCATCACACGCTCATCATCACATGCTCATCATCACACGCTCATCATCACACGCTCATCATCACACGCTCATCATCACACGCTCATCATCACGCGCTCATCATCACACGCTCATCATCACACGCTCATCATCACATGCTCGTCATCACACGCTCATCATCACACGCTCATCATCACACGCTCATCATCACATCATCACGCGCTCATCATCACACGCTCATCATCACGCGCTCATCATCACACGCTCATCATCACACGCTCATCATCACACGCTCATCATCACGCGCTCATCATCACACGCTCATCATCACGCGCTCATCATCACACGCTCATCATCACACGCTCATCATCACATGCTCATCATCACACGCTCATCATCACACGCTCATCATCACATGCTCATCATCACGCGCTCATCATCACACGCTCATCATCACATGCTCATCATCACACGCTCATCATCACATGCTCATCATCACGCGCTCATCATCACATGCTCATCATCACGCGCTCATCATCACATGCTCATCATCACACGCTCATCATCACACGCTCATCATCACATGCTCATCATCACACGCTCATCATCACACGCTCATCATCACATGCTCATCATCACACGCTCATCATCACGCGCTCATCATCACGCGCTCATCATCACACGCTCATCATCACACGCTCATCATCACATGCTCATCATCACACGCTCATCATCACACGCTCATCATCACATGCTCATCATCACACGCTCATCATCACGCGCTCATCATCACGCGCTCATCATCACACGCTTATCATCACGCGCTCATCATCACACGCTCATCATCACACGCTCATCATCACACGCTCATCATCACGCGCTCATCATCACACGCTCATCATCACGCGCTCATCATCACACGCTCATCATCACACGCTCATCATCACATGCTCATGATCACACGCTCATCATCACACGCTCATCATCACATGCTCATCATCACGCGCTCATCATCACACGCTCATCATCACATGCTCATCATCACACGCTCATCATCACATGCTCATCATCACACGCTCATCATCACATGCTCATCATCACGCGCTCATCATCACATGCTCATCATCACGCGCTCATCATCACACGCTCATCATCACATGCTCATCATCACACGCTCATCATCACACGCTCATCATCACACACTCATCATCACATGCTCATCATCACATGCTCATCATCACATGCTCATCATCACACGCTCATCATCACACGCTCATCATCACATGCTCATCATCACATGCTCATCATCACACGCTCATCATCACATGCTCATCATCACATGCTCATCATCACATGCTCATCATCACACGCTCCATCCGACCTCATGCACCCGATCTCTCCCATGCCCCCTACCAGCGTGTTCATCATGGTTCTCCGGGTCTTCAGCAAAAGGACTTCCAACACGCACATAGGCATCATTTCTCGCTTCATCCGCCCTCTCCCCATGTGTTTGTCCCCATACGCCCTACCTCTCCCCGTGCGCACTACCTCTCCCATACCCCATACAACAGTGTATTCGTCATGGTGACGCGAGTTCTGAAGCTGATGGACTTCCAGCCGCACATAGGCATCATCACTCGCTCCATCTGCCTTTCCCCATGCGCCCCATATGTTCAGCTCCGTCCTTCCTTCCCAATCATTCCCACCCACACAACAGTGTCTTTATTATGGTTCTCCGCATGCTGAAGCTCATGGACTTCCAGCCGCACATGGGCATCATCACTCACACAATCCCCTCTCTCCCCATGTGTTTCTCTCTACGCACCCCATCTCTCCCATGTCCTCTACCAGTGTCTTTATCATGGTGTTGCGAGTTCTGAAGCTCATGGACTTCCAGCCGCACATGGGCATCATCACTCACACAATCCCCTCTCTCCTCATGTGTTTCTCTCTACGCACCCCATCTCTCCCATGTCCTCTACCAGTGTCTTTATCATGGTGTTGCGAGTTCTCAAGCTCATGGACTTCCAGCCGCACATGGGCATCATCACTCACACAATCCCCTCTCTCCCCATGTGTTTCTCTCTATGCATCCCATCTCTCCCATGTCCTCTGCCAGTGTCTTTATCATGGTGTTGCGAGTTCTCAAGCTCATGGACTTCCAGCCACACATGGGCATCATAACGCGCTCCATCCGTGTGGCTCTGCCTTCCATCCTCCACTTCTTCCTGCTCGCCCTCGCTGTCTTCCTCGCCTATGCCACCTACGCCTACCTTGTGTTCGGCATGACCTTGGCACAGGTGCGTGTGTGGGTCAGCTTCTGTTAGCTTCTACCCAAGGCAGGAGGAAGTCATTGCCACGGCGTCTAATGACAAGACTATGTACTTGTGAAGATGTGCGAAAGATGGTGGGAAGGGGGAAGAGGAGGAGAGGGAGGAGGGAAGCGGAGGAAGATGAAGGGCGAAGGGCAGGGAGAAGATGGTGGGTCTCCGTTGTTCAGCGCAGCTCATTCCGCGCCAGCAGCTTCTTCTCTCATGAAGCTTTTGCACGGCTGTGCAGTCAACTCACCCTACTTCTCACACAATGAAGTCTTCCTTGTCTCCACCAGGTGTGCGCCCTTTCCTTTCCCGGTTTCCCGGTCTCCCGGTTTCCGCGTTTCCCGGTTTCCCGGTATCCCGGTATCCCGGTTTCCCGGTTTCCCGGTTTCCCGGTATCCCGGTTTCCCGGTATCCCGGTATCCCGGTATCCCGGTATCCCGGTATCCCGGTATCCCGGTATCCCGGTATCCCGGTATCCCGGTATCCCGGTATCCCGGTATCCCGGTATCCCGGTATCCCGGTATCCCGGTATCCCGGTATCCCGGTATCCCGGTATCCCGGTATCCCGGTATCCCGGTTTCCCGGTTTCCCGGTTTCCCGGTTTCCCGGTTTCCCGGTTTCCCGGTTTCCCGGTTTCCCGGTTTCCCGGTTTCCCGGTATCCCGGTATCCCGGTATCCCGGTATCCCGGTTTCCCGGTATCCCGGTATCCCGGTTTCCCGGTTTCCCGGTTTCCCGGTATCCCGGTTTCCCGGTTTCCCGGTATCCCGGTTTCCCGGTTTCCCGGTATCCCGGTATCCCGGTTTCCCGGTTTCCCGGTTTTCCGGTTTCCCGGTTTCCCGGTTTCCCGGTTTCCCGGTTTCCCGGTTTCCCGGTATCCCGGTATCCCGGTTTCCCGGTTTCCCGGTTTCCCGGTATCCCGGTATCCCGGTATCCCGGTATCCCGGTATCCCGGTATCCCGGTATCCCGGTTTCCCGGTATCCCGGTATCCCGGTTTCCCGGTATCCCGGTTTCCCGGTTTCCCGGTTTCCCGGTATCCCGGTATCCCGGTATCCCGGTATCCCGGTATCCCGGTTTCCCGGTTTCCCGGTTTCCCGGTTTCCCGGTATCCCGGTATCCCGGTTTCCCGGTTTCCCGGTTTCCCGGTATCCCGGTTTCCCGGTTTCCCGGTATCCCGGTTTCCCGGTTTCCCGGTTTCCCGGTATCCCGGTTTCCCGGTTTCCCGGTATCCCGGTTTCCCGGTTTCCCGGTTTCCCGGTTTCCCGGTTTCCCGGTATCCCGGTATCCCGGTATCCCGGTATCCCGGTTTCCCGGTTTCCCGGTTTCCCCGTTTCCCGGTTTCCCGGTTTCCCGGTTTCCCGGTATCCCGGTATCCCGGTTTCCCGGTATCCCGGTATCCCGGTATCCCGGTATCCCGGTATCCCGGTTTCCCGGTTTCCCGGTTCCCGGTTCCCGGTTTCCCGGTTTTCCGGTTTCCCGGTTTCCCGGTTTCCCCGTTTCCCGGTTTCCCGGTTTCCCGGTTTCCCCGTTTCCCGGTTTCCCGGTTTCCCGGTTTCCCGGTTTCCCGGTTTCCCGGTTTCCCGGTTTCCCGGTTTCCCGGTTTCCCCGTTTCCCGGTTTCCCGGTTTCCCGGTATCCCGGTTTCCCGGTTTCCCGGTTTCCCGGTTTCCCGGTTTCCCGGTATCCCGGTTTCCCGGTATCCCGGTATCCCGGTATCCCGGTTTCCCGGTTTCCCGGTATCCCGGTTTCCCGGTTTCCCGTTTATCCGGTTTCCCGGTATCCCGGTATCCCGGTATCCCGGTTTCCCGGTTTCCCGGTTTCCCGGTTTCCCGGTTTCCCGGTTTCCCCGTTTCCCGGTTTCCCGGTTTCCCGGTATCCCGGTATCCCGGTTTCCCGGTATCCCGGTTTCCCGGTTTCCCGGTTTCCCGGTTTCCCGGTTTCCCGGTTTCCCGGTTTCCCGGTTTCCCCGTTTCCCGGTTTCCCGGTTTCCCGGTTTCCCGGTTTCCCCGTTTCCCGGTTTCCCGGTTTCCCGGTTTCCCGGTTTCCCGGTATCCCGGTATCCCGGTTTCCCGGTTTCCCGGTTTCCCGGTATCCCGGGTTTCCCGGTTTCCCGGTATCCGGTTTCCCGGTTTCCCGTTAACCGGTTTCCCGGTTTCCCGGTATCCCGGTATCCCGGTTTCCCGGTTTCCCGGTATCCCGGTTTCCCGGTTTCCCGGTTTCCCGGTTTCCCGGTATCCGGTTTCCCGGTATCCCGGTTATCCGGTATCCCGGTTTCCCGGTTTCCCGGTTTCCCGGTTTCCCGGTATCCCGGTATCCCGGTATCCCGCTTCCCGGTTTCCCGGTTTCCCGGTTTCCCGGTTTCCCGGTTTCCCGGTATCCCGGTTTCCCGGTATCCCGGTATCCCGGTTTCCCGGTTTCCCGGTTTCCCGGTATCCCGGTATCCCGGTATCCCGGTATCCCGGTTTCCCGGTTTCCCGGTATCCCGGTATCCCGGTATCCCGGTATCCCGGTATCCCGGTATCCCGGTTTCCCGGTTTCCCGGTTCCCGGTTTCCCGGTTTTCCGGTTTCCCGGTTTCCCGGTTTCCCGGTGTCCCGGTTCCCGGTTTCCCGGTTTCCGGTTGTCCCGGTGTCCCGGTGTCCCGGTGTCCGGTTTCCCGGTTTCCCGGTTTCCCGGTTTCCCGGTTTCCCGGTTTCCCGGTTTCCCGGTATCCCGGTATCCCGGTTTCCCGGTTTCCCGGTTTCCCGGTTTCCCGGTTTCCCGGTTTCCCGGTATCCCGGTATCCCGGTTTCCCGGTATCTTGGTTTCCCGGTTTCCCGGTTTCCCGGTTTCCCGGTATCCCGGTTTCCCGGTTTCCCGGTATCCCGGTTTCCCGGTTTCCCGGTTTCCGGTTGTCCCGGTGTCCCGGTTGTCCCGGTGTCCCGGTTTGTCCGGTGTCCCGGTATCCCGGTTTCCCGGTTTCCCGGTTTCCCGGTTTCCCGGTTTCCCGGTTTCCCGGTTTTCCGGTTTCCCGGTTTCCCGGTTTCCCCGTTTCCCGGTTTCCCGGTTTCCCGGTATCCCGGTATCCCGGTATCCCGGTATCCCGGTTTCCCGGTTTCGTTATCCCGGTATCCCGGTATCCCGGTATCCCGGTATCCCGGTTTCCCGGTTTCCCCGTTTCCCGGTTTCCCGGTTTCCCGGTTTCACGGTTTCCCGGTTTCCCGGTTTCCCGGTTTCCCGGTTTCCCGGTATCCCGGTTTCCCGGTATCCCGGTATCCCGGTTTCCCGGTTTTCCGGTTTCCCGGTTTCCCGGTTTCCCGGTTTTCCGGTTTCCCGGTTTCCCGGTTTCCCGGTTTCCCGGTTTCCCGGTTTCCCCGTTTCCCGGTTTCCCGGTTTCCCGTTTTTTTTCCCGGTTTCCCGGTTTTCCGGTTTCCCGGTTTCCCGGTTTCCCGGTTTCCCGGTATCCCGGTTTCCCGGTTTCCCGGTTTCCCGGTATCCCGGTATCCCGGTTTCCCGGTTTCCCGGTTTCCCGGTATCCCGGTATCCCGGTTTCCCGGTATCCGGTTTCCCGGTTTCCGGTTAACCGGTTTCCCGGTTTCCCGGTATCCCGGTATCCCGGTTTCCCGGTATCCCGGTATCCCGGTTTCCCGGTTTCCCGGTTTCCCGGTTTCCCGGTATCCCGGTTTCCCGGTATCCCGGTTTCCCCGTTTCCCGGTTTCCCGGTTTCCCGGTTTCCCGGTATCCCGGTATCCCGGTATCCCGGTATCCCGGTTTCCCGGTTTCCCGGTTTCCCTGTTTCCCGGTTTCCCGGTTTCCCGGTTTCCCGGTTTCCCGGTTTCCCGGTATCCCGGTTTCCCGGTTTCCCGGTATCCCGGTTTCCCGGTTTCCCGGTTTCCCGGTTTCCCGGTTTCCCGGTTTCCCGGTTTCCCGGTATCCCGGTATCCCGGTATCCCGGTATCCCGGTATCCCGGTATCCCGGTTTCCCGGTTTCCCGGTTTCCCGGTATCCCGGTATCCCGGTATCCCGGTATCCCGGTATCCCGGTTTCCCGGTTTCCCGGTTTCCCGGTTTCCCGGTTTCCCGGTTTCCCGGTTGTCCCGGTTTCCCGGTTTTCCGGTTTCCCGGTTTCCCGGTTTCCCGGTTTTCCCGGTGTCCCGGTGTCCGGTGTCCCGGTTTCCGGTTTCCGGTTTCCCGGTTTCCCGGTTTCCCGGTTTCCCGGTTTCCCGGTATCCCGGTATCCCGGTATCCCGGTTTCCCGGTTTCCCGGTTTCCCGGTTTTCCGGTTTCCCGGTTTCCCGGTTTCCCGGTATCCCGGTTTCCCGGTTTCCCGGTTTCCCGGTTTCCCGGTTTCCCGGTTTCCCGGTATCCCGGTATCCCGGTTTCCCGGTTTCCCGGTTGTCCCGGTGTCCCGGTTTTTTTTGTCCCGGTTTCCGGTGTCCCGGTGTCCCGGTGTCCCGGTGTCCCGGTGTCCCGGTCCCGGTTTCCCGTTTCCCGGTTTCCCGGTTTCCCGGTTTCCCGGTTTCCCGGTTTCCCGGTTTCCCGGTTTCCCGGTTTCCCGGTTTCCCGGTTTCCCGGTATCCCGGTATCCCGGTATCCCGGTATCCCGGTATCCCGGTATCCCGGTATCCGGTATCCCGGTTTCCCGGTTCCCGGTTTCCGGTTTCCCGGTTTCCCGGTTTCCCGGTATCCCGGTATCCCGGTATCCCGGTTTCCCGGTTTCCCGGTTTCCCGGTTTCCCGGTTTCCCGGTTTCCCGGTTTCCCGGTTTCCCGGTTTTCCGGTTTCCCGGTTTCCCGGTTTCCCGGTTTCCCGGTTTCCCGGTTTCCCGGTATCCCGGTATCCCGGTTTCCCCGTTTCCCGGTTTCCCGGTTTCCCGGTATCCCGGTATCCCGGTATCCCGGTTTCCCGGCATCCCGGCATCCCGGCATCCCGGCATCCCGGCATCCCGGTTCCCGGCAACCCGGTTTCCCGGTATCCCGGTTTCCCGGTTTCCCCGTTTCCCGGTTTCCCGGTTTCCCGGTTTCCCGGTTTCCCG